GTGACACAGTTTGGTACTTAAAGACAAAAATAACTAGGGAAACTTTTACAAAGTGCAAAATGTGATTTTTCTATTCTTTACACTGACTATATAGTATAATGAGTACCATTTTGAATGGATTTCAGGCATTACTGAATTGAGAATGCTTTAATTTTGGACTGTATCTTTTACATTGTAGGGTCAGGAGATGATGATAGAGGCCTCTCTAACGCAACCATAGTGCCGGCAGTTCATGCACAGTATCATCTGGCAGTTCTGAAACTCGACCAAGAGAAGTTCCAAGGAATGCTGCATATGAAGATTTGATTAACATTGAGAGAGCAAATGCACTAATTAAGCAAGAGAACCTGAAATTAAAACAAAAGAAATTGGAAATTGAACTTTTGGAACATAAAATTAATGCAAGCACACATAAAGATGACACTGACCATTCATCACCAGTGTATTTCAGTTTGTAAGCAATATCATTTATCCACTGTCTGTAAAATAATTCTAAATGTAAATTGTAGGACATTTGCCTAAAACATTAAATCTCCTGTCAAAACTTTAAATCCAATGTTTTTTTTCTCATTTCATTCTCTCGAGCAAAAATAAAGTTAAGAATCTATTTTGTATAAACAATGCATGTCCGTGTATTCCTTCAAATCTGGTTGCGGCTGCCCTGGTTCGAAATCCTCAACCTGTGGTTCATTTCTATCGACTGCTATGTTGTGGAGCACTGCTGTTGCTGCAGTTACTTTGCATGTATCCTCAGGATTCCTCAGCCTACTTTCAAGGTGCAGTATGTGGAATCTTCTCTTCCATCTTCCGATAGTTTGCTCTACCAAAACTCGAGTACGCTTATGAGCTGAATTATAACGTTGTTCAGATGCAGTCTGTGAGTTCAGAAGAGGAGTCATGAGCCACCTGCGGCAAGGATATCCGCTTTCTCCAAGAATAAAGCCATCAACAGCCCCACTCTCCATTAGATCCCATACTTGGCTACTTCTCAATACCCTGCTATCATGAGCTCCTCCTGGCCATCGTGTCACAATATTTGTGAATTTCCCCTTGTAGTCACAGATAACTTGCACATTGATTGAATGATATCCTTTTCTGTTCACATAGTCAGCTTCGTCACGGGGAGGAGTGTGGATCCAAATGTGAGTACCATCAACGCAACCTATCACACCTATCATCCTGTAGAACCCATCTTTGATGTTGGCCATATTTTGTGCATTTGAAAATTTCACATAATCCCCAATCTTTGCTGCAAGAGCATTTGATACATGATGAATCGCACGCCAAGCGGTTTGCTGGGACACTTGCAAAGGGTCCCCAACAACATATTGGAAAGTGCCTGTTGCATAGTATTGCAGGGCTATCATTACCTGCTGGTAGGTAATAAGGCATGATTTCTCCTGGTTGGGTGGGTAATGTCATTTTTGACAATGTCAGTTATCAGCAAAATGCCTTCTCTGGAAAATCTGTATCTTTTTACAAGTTCCACATCATCAAAAATGTCCAACGGATTCCTTCTATCCCGAAACACTCGTTCCCGTCGCATTGCTCTGCGGAGCTCCACAATTTCTAAAATTCTCCTGGCCATCCTTACACCTCGGAGGTATGAGTAGAAATGAATTAGAATGATACTAGTGATTTAGAAGATACCCTGACCTACTCTAACTTTAGCATGAAACTTAGAACTATACTAGTCTTAGAATGGTTTTATGGAATAGAGTTATTATGCAACTAGAGGTAGAATGAAGTTTAGCAACCAACTAGGGCTTAGAATGCTTTTATGGAATTGGCCCCTGGTTTATAAACATCCCTAGGGCTAAGCACATGTGGTTTATCAAATTATGTTCAAAACGAACTTCATTGAGTGTATTATTGTATTCATTGTAGCCGAGAACCAAACCACCTACCAGAAGCTTCCTGTGGCTCACAGCCGCCTCTGCCACACTCCTGTATTTCCGGATTCCAGACAAGATGGTTTGGGCACAGCTTGGGAATAACGCCACCTTCAGTGCAGCTGTAATACCGCCGACAAATTCTGGAGTCGGGAATGAACTGGCCTACGGGACACTTTGTTATCTGACGGGGGTAATCAGCAGGGAAAACACTGGGCCCTGAAATATAACATAAACAAAAATCGTAAGATATTGCCGGTTTTAATGCTTTAATACAAAGAAAGGATTATCAGGCTCTTGGAAGCTTAGTTTTTGTATATCTTTTATGTAAATATTTTATTTTGTATATTTTATCCCAATCCATTTATCTCTTCAACTTCAAACTTTTGGTTGATTTACTTTAATTTTGGTTTAATTTACTTGTTGTTATTAGCTAGATATCTAATAGTACTCTTTATATGTATCATTCCAGGTGTCCATCATCAACTAGATTAGTTCAATAAAGTTGAAGATATACATATTTATCTATGACGGACACCAGATTTCCCTTGCCACTGTGTCGATTGCCAAGTTAGATTTTCAGCCATTATTTGTAGAGTCGTCAAAACAAACAAGATGCCCCAACTGCAATGCCCTGTGGTGGGGACCTTGATGCTGCCTTTGCAGGAGCCTTAACCGCAGCTCTCCAAATGCACGGCCAGACTGCCCACCCGACTCAGCCGGCGCCCCAAGCTGGATCCACCACAAATTTCAACAGGGTCTGATCCGGATCAATGGTCGGCATTCACCAGGCAGTGGTATATGTACAAGGCTGGTATGAACATTGCTGAAAACATGGTAGCAACCGCCCTCTTCTACTGTTGTGATCAAGACTTACGCACAGACATTATGTGAGATCTTAGAGACAATGTTGCAAATATGGCGGAGGCCGACCTCCTAGCTGCCATATGAAGATTAGCTGTCAAAGATGAGAGTACCCTGGTTCATCGCATATTAGTAAAATGACTCAAACCCCAGGAACCAGTATTAGAACATTTTTTGGCAAGCCTGAGAGGCCAAGCAGCATTGTGTCGATATACAGCCACATGTAAAGAAGAAGGCTGCACCCATATGTTTGACTACAGTGATGAAAGTATAAAAGACAACCTCATCAGAGGCATTGCTGACCCAGAAATTATGTCAGATTTATTGGCTGACCCTAAAACAGACAGAACGCTAGAGGAAAAAGTATCCTTTATCGCTCAAAAGGAACAGGGGAAAATGACCAAGAGTGCAGTCGGAGACACTGCCAACGCTGCCAGCAATGTTAAAAAATCACCACTTGTTCAAACTGATAGGAAACCAAAATGCTGGGAAAGCGGTGGACTTGCTCATGGACCAAGAAATGATAGAAGAGCAAGAGCCAGGAAGTGTGAGGCATGGGGGCATGGGGTTTCATGTGTGCCAAATGTGGTGTCAAAGGACATTACACAGACCTTTGCAGCAAATGCAACACCTGCGGTGAATGGGGCCACCGGGATAAGAGTATGCCAGCAAGGGAGAGGATATAGAAACCCGCCCAAACCACGCACTCAGACAGGTCAAAGTAAGGGTACGGACCATGCTGACACCAATTATGTATTTGATCAGCTATGTACAGCTTCCGAAAACAATCCGCCCTGGCGACATAAAACCAACAAGACTGCTTTAATTGATCGCCACATATTTGATGGCCAGTGGATAGCCCGCCCATCAAAACCACACCCAATAATTTTAGTTAAAATGACCCCTCTACCTGCAGACCATGCTGCTTTTGGGTATCCGATGCAAGACACGTCAACACTTAAATCAGTCAACATGTCCATGATTGCGGATACAGGGTGTCAGAGCAGCATAATACCACTGAAGTCGGCTATGGCTGTAGGCATAAGGAAAGAAGACCTCTTGCCTGTTAAACTTGTGATGCGAGGTGCCATCAGAGAGAATCTGGGTGTTATGGGTGGCATTGCTGTCAGTGTCTCTGTCAAAGATGAAAACAATCACATCATAACGTCTTGCTTGATGTGTTACGTGTCTGAATCCATTGGGAAAGCCTTCCTCTGCAGAGAGGCACTTACAGACTTGGGGATAATTAACACAGATTTGCCGAATGCCACACAGACAACACACACAGCTTCAATTGGCCCCACTGACGAAGTTCCATGCACATGCTCAAGGAGCAGAGAGGAGCCACCACCATTACCCACATCTCTTCCCCCTGACTTAAAGGGTTCGGAAGAAAATGTTGAAATGCTTAAAGATTGGCTCCTCGACTATTATGGAGCGACAACATTTAATACATGTGAACACCAGCCATTACCCCTGATGAAGTGTGAGCTGCTCCAACTTCATGTGGATTCAGATGCCAAACCAGTTGCAGTCCATAAGCCAGCACTTGTTCCAATTCACTGGCAAGAGAGGGTCTTTGCTGATCTTGAAAGGAAAGTTCGAATAGGGATCCTTGAACGAGTCAGCCCAAATACCCCAACAACACGGTGTTCCCGCATGGTAGTAACAGGAAAAGCTGATGGCACTCCTAGGCAAACAGTAGACTTACAGCAACTGAACCCCCACTCTGTCCGCCAAACACACCATGTGCCTACCCCATTTCACTTAGCAAACCGCATCCCACCGGGTGTAAAAAAAAACCTGATGGATGCCTGGAATGGGTACCACTCTGTGCCTATTAGGGAGGAGGACCAGCACATCACAACATTCATCACACCATGGGGCCGTTACAGATACAAAGTAGCACCTCAGGGGTTTTAAGCCAGTGAAGATGCCTACAACCAGAGATTTGATGCCATAATCACAGACTTCCCTAATAAAGTCAAGTGTGTAGATGATACATGCATGTGAGCAAACTCAATTGAAGAGTCATTCTTCCAAGCATGCAAATGGCTAGACCTATGTGCACGTAATGGTATCACCTTGAATCCCAAGAAATTTCAGTTCGCCCAAGATGCAGTTTAATTTGCTGGTCTTACAATCACACCTACGAATATACAACCAGGTGACAAGTTTATAGATCCCACAAGGAAATTCCCAACACCTTCAGATATCAGTGGTGCCCGAGCCTGGTTTTGGCTCATGGCACGTCAGATGAAGCCATTCAGGAACCTTCTAAAGCCATCCACAAAATTTGAATGGACAGATGAGTTGGACATCCTGTTCCACCAATCCAAAGAAGTCATTATAGAAGAAATGAAAGAAGGAATGCGTTTGTTTGATCCAAACCGCCCAACATGTCTGTCCACTGATTGGTCTGTTAATGGAGTTGGATTCTTCCTGATGCAAAAGTATTGCCAATGCACCTCCAAAACTCCAGCGTGTTGTCACAATGGCTGGAAGTTATGCTTGGTAGGAAGCAGGTTTACCCACCAAGCAGAAAGCAGATATGCACCCAAAGAGGGAGAAGCCTTGGCCGTGGCCTATGCATTGCAGCAGACTCGCTACTATGTATTGGGCTGTAAAGATTTGATTGTTGCCACAGACTACAAACCACTCGTTCAGGTGCTAAATGATAGTTCACTCACTGAAATTCACAACCATCGACTACTCAATCTCAAGAAAAAGACACTAGCATACAGATTCACCATAGTGCATGTCCCAGAAAAGAAGAATCCCAGCCCGGATGCAGCATCCAGACACCCTGCTGATAGATATACCATATCCTACATGACTGTACCTCCACAGGTCACATTGGCTAGTCTATACCAAGACACAGCAGACACTGACTTTGCTGATGATGTTTCCACCATTGCTGCTGTGTCTGCCTCACTGGATGCTGCTAACATTATCGTCACCTGGGATATGGTCCGAGACACCACTTCTTCAGATGCAACATTACTTAAACTAATGCAGTACCTTGAAAAAGGATTCCCAGAAGATTGCAGAGAACTCCCCATAGAGATACGTCCACACCACCGTCACGCAGCAAGCCTGTGTGTTGTTGATGGAGTGATACTCATGGGTCAACGAATTGTTATCCCAGGGGCCTTGCGCACACCAATCCTCAATGCCCTTCATGCAGCTCACCAGGGTATAAGTGCTATGCAGTCCCGAGCAGCAGATTCTGTTTTTTGGCCCAAGTTAACATTGCGAGAGTTAGGGACCAATGTGCACATTGTCATCGCATGGCTAAATCAAACCCAATGCAACCACCATCTGATATTAAACAGCCATACTACCCTTTCCAGATGATCTGCTGTGACTATTTCACATACAACAGTAAAGATGATGTTGTCATTGTCGACCATTATTCCAATTGGCCCATGGCTTTTAAAGCAGAAGGAGGGGCAGAGGGTCTAATCAGAAGATTGCGTGAAACTTCCGTCACATTTGGAATACCAGAGGAGTTAACCTCAGATGGTGGACCACAATTTACTGCAGGGAAAACACAAGAATTTCTCAAGACCTGGGGTGTTAAACACAGAGTCTCGTCAGTTGCCAACCCTCATGCTAACTGTAGAGCTGAGATAGCTGTCAAAATTGTGAAGCGGATGCTTGCAGACAATATAGCCCCAACAGGATCCCTTGATGTTGACAAGTTTCAGAAAGCCATGCTTATGTACAGAAATTCTATTGACCCACAAACAAAGGTCTCCCCAGCATTAATTATATTTGGACGGCCTATTCGCGATGCCATTCCAATACCCATGGGAAGGTATTCCCCACACGAAACATGGGTGGAGCCGATGTCACATCGTGAAAGAGCACTTGCAAAACGTCATTCCAGAGAGCATGAACGCTGGAGCGAGCATACTGGGATCTTACCACCATTGAGGGTTGGAGATCATGTGTACTTACAGAACCTTGTGGGAAGTTATCCCCGGAAGTGGGAGCGAACTGGAATAGTAATTGAAGTAAGACAGCACCATCAGTTTGTCATCAGAGTAGATGGTTCAGGCAGAGTGACTATCCGCAACCGTCAGCATCTTAGGAAGTTCACTCCATTTGTTACCAGTGACTATTCCCCCATGATTGAGACTGCCCTCAAGGAGAACATGGTGCCTGAGCAACCAACCAAACTGGTCCATCACGAACCTAGTGACCTTCATCTGGTAAAGAAGCAAACCCATGACAACCCTGTACAGATCACACAACCAAAGAATCCAGATGAACCTACTGTGCCATACCAGGAAGCTTCTACTCCATCGCCATTATCTGAAGAGCCAGATTTGAGTGCCCCAGATCCCAGTGGCCAGGATGCCCCTTCTATTACCAAGCAGCGCACCAGTAGTGGTTTGCCACGTGCATTAGGCCGTTCGCTACCTCATAACAAGCCAGGCACCACAGAAACGCTTACTCCATCCAGACCAAGCCGTCGTTCTAAAGAGACTGGCATACAGGATACTCGGAAACCAGCTTCAACCAGGGACTCCTCTCTAAGTCTCATAAAACTTAACTTTTCTACATGACTTTAGCTAGATATTTAATTTGATTTTCTTTTAGCATATAGCTTTTTTAAAGTTGTTGTTGTTGCTTTAATTTCCTTATTACAATTGACTTTTGTAAAGAACTATGGAGGACTCATGTTCACAAACTTTAAAAGCTCCCCAGGGGAGGAGACAGAGGACTTATAAAAAAGGAATGAGGACTGGCGTATAAGTGACGTTTTATACATGCCCGTATAAAACTTCCCCCGGGGGAAGGAGATAGCTAGATATCTAATAGTACTCTTTATATATGTATAATTCCAGGTGTCCATCATCAACTAGATTAGTTCAATAAAGTTGAAGATATACATATTTATCTAGTTATTATCATTATTATTAACAATGTATTACTATTGTTATCCTAGAAAATATATCGAAGGTAATTCAAGAAATACAATGATGGAATCACATGAAACATTATTAAGGTATCTGATCAACTTTTCAAAATAACCAATAGACATCACGATATAACAGAATAAAAGTAAAAAAAATGCAAATATGACTTGTTCAGCTACGGGGGTGTCAGTGTTGAAAACTCTCTCACCTGTTTGATAAGAAGACATGGAATCAATGATTGGGTGTATAGAGACCTCGGGGTAGGGGAACCCCGTACCCCTATCTCGTAGCCTCTGCTTGATCTGCGCATGCTCTGTCAGACCCCACCAGTTGGAAGACGCATTCACAGTTGAAGAGGACCCTTCACTTGTCATCTCGAATGTAAATGTAGGGTTTTGGAAGACATTGTCGTGGAGAATCGATGATGAGCCACCAGCAACTATAGCCGCCATATTGTTTGCATCTCTTGCAATGTTGTAGTATATGATGTTGTCAGTGGTGACGTCACTCGTGTTCCTATTGGCTGGTGTTGTCCACCACATCACATGAAGACCCGTGTTGTTGTAGATGTAGTTGTTTGTGACGGTTCCAACCACACCGTCCAGGTGGAGGACATCACCGTACCTATCTCCCTGTCCGTGCTTTATCACATTCCCATCTATACTGCATTGCTGTGTGTGAAGACCTTCTTCTACTTCTACCACCTGAATGCTCTCTTGCTTGGTTGTAAGGATAATCTGGTTGCTCCAGATGTTCAATTTATTGTTTTGGAATACGCTGTGAGTTCTGGCGTGGATGCCACCATGGTTCCCTTCCATGTAATTGTTTGCCAATGTAGCACTGGTGTCAGCGATATTAAGCCGAATAGCTGCTTTGGAATGTTCAGCTCGGTTGGAAGTCAAAAATCCATTTCTGTGAAATATGTTTTTATTGATGTTAATATCCCAATTACTCTGTCCAAATGTAGTTATGTTAACTCCTCCTAGACAATTGTTAAAGAAAGTGTTTTCTTCGATGACAAAGTTGCCGATAGACCCTAAAAGGCAAACCCAATAGTTTGGCTTATAAAACATGTAAAATTAACACGTTTGCTTCTATTTTTTCTATTTTTTTTAAAACTTATTCCGTAAGAACACCTAGCAATCGACAGAGTATTTGTATGAATGTCAAGTACCACAATGACATGTTACTAGTATGTGTATGTGAGAATGTACAATCTTACCTGCAGATGTGTCGCTGGATATCTTGATACTGAAGACCATGCTCTGCAAACCATACGTGTCCCAGTTACTGGCACTGCTATATAACCGGATGGTTACACTGGAACTGTTTATTGGGACATCTGAAGGAAGTGAATCGTTTGTCTGGTCAGCATAAAGAAGTCGCCTTGAGTGAAGAGGAGACGATCCTTGGAATATTTCCAGTTGAAAATATTGCAGATTAAACTGTAAAATTTGGATTGTGATATTTTGTCCAAGTTCAGAACGTATTGCACGCGTGCAATTAAAATAATTTCCTGCATGTTGTTTTCCATGAGAATAATAAACCAAAGCTCTGTCTTTAACAATGAGCATTTTGGAATTTCTTTCGCAAATATTATCGACCCCATAAACGTCACTTGGCCATCCCACATATTCTTGTTTTGCCTTAGATTTCAGTGGTATACTTCTTGCGTAAGCCATAACAGCATTTATCCCAACCCCTCTGTTGTTAAGGAACTCATTTCGTTTAATGATGATAGATTTCACTGCTGGTCCAATTAGTTCAATACCGTTCAACCTTGACTGGACCACTCGTGAGTTCTGTATGATTATCCTGGGGCTGAAAGACTGCACAGCTGCGCCGTACGTGTTTCCTTTGTAACCTGCATTAAAAACGTCTACAAAGAGCAATTCCGAAGGACTAGTTCTGACGTCATCAGAAGCAAACACCAATCCTTGCCAAAAAGAACAATGAGCTGTTTGGTATTGACAGCCAAAGACAACCTTTTTTCTCTTTTCTCCCCTGGCAACTATCCGTCCCAGAACGAGGATCCCTTTGTCCGTTGCTGGCTTAATCCAAACACCAGGTTCAATGAAAACCTCAACACCGGGTAAAATAGTCCAATCTTCTTTTAGATAGAATGGAGAACCTGCTGCTTCTAATGTGATGGACTTGTTCAGCCACCCGCCAAGGACGTTTCCTTGTGGAAGTCCCTCTGTGACGTCAGGAGTGTACACCAACTCGTTCGATCTTGACACAAATGGCAGTACTCGCACTTCCGGTAGATACATGTCGTTGTGTGCGTCATATATACCTTTTCTCACGCAACGGGTATTTTCACATCCCCACGTGTTGTATCTGGCTTCAATTATGTCTGTCCATTTTGTAGAGCGAGTCCTGACATACACCTCTGCCTCTAGGCCCGGGTTTTGAAGCGTGTTGTTTTGAATGCAGACATTTCCATAACCATCTAAAACGAGAGCAGCTGTCACTGGGGGCTTTGATGACTGACGTTCGCTGTTGCCGGATGAATAAGTGTTGTTAGCAATGATATTCCCTACCAGTCCAACGTTTGGTGTTTTGCTTAGGTCATAGGTTGATTTCTCCATATTCATGACAATGATATTTCTGTAATGGTTACCTAATATATCATTGTTCATGAATTGTATTGTCTTTTCATATCCCCGGTATGAGGTCATTGACCCATAGCTGTACTGTCATATGTAGAGCACCACCACTGACGTCAAGTACCTGATGTCTGTTATCAGTGATTTCGTTATTCAAGAACTGGATGTCCACATCTTTGGGGTTGTCTTCCCGGACACTGTACTGTAACAATGTGTTCCTGGTATTTCTGATCGTACATCCGTCAATGGTTAACTGTTCTCGATTTCCACGGTAATTTTGGATATTAATTCCATAGTCATTAGAATCTAAGGTTGTGTTTTTGATTGCGATGGCGAATGATGGTAACACTTCATTCACCAGTGGAACATTAGATACTTTGTATAACCAAGCGTACATAAGTCTGGAGTTTCCTATTATAACTGAGTCTTTTATATCAAAGCCGACTTGTCCCAGATCCGGGAAGTCTGGATGTCTTCTGTCAGTCCGTATTCCATTTGTGTAACCTCGGTATTGGCCATACACTGCTGTGGAGGACCCACTGATTATAACATTGTTCAATGTTAGGCTTGGTTTGTGTGGTGGCAGGTCGTCTGAAAATTACAATTATACCTTAATAGTCACGCCTTAGGCTCCGTTCACATGAAAAGTCTATTTTCTAAAAATCTATTTTCTATTCGCTGTATCTTGTGATCACGGTCTGTGCGCTGAATACCCCGCGGCGTAATTACTGGCAGCGCGAGCCAGTTACTTCCAAAGCTGTAATTAATTCTAGGCTGTGCTCGGAGTGATCACAAGATACCGCGAATAGAGAAAAGATTTTTAGAAAATACATTTTTCATGTGAACAGAGTCTTAGATTTTATACACTTATTTCACCTTATTTGAGTTCTTTTGTCATTCTCTCGTCATCCTAGTAGGTATCAATTTATCATATCTTGCATTTTTGTGATAGCTCAGGTAAAAGAGAACACAGCGAAACCATGAATAGCGCTTTAACCCAAAACCGGTGATATGACGTCATCTTCAAAGTGTCCACACCTTTTTTGTAGACAAATAATGTCCATGAACATCATTGCATAATATCATAACAGCCGGTTTTATATTTAGTCGTTTTAGCCTGATAATTGACTAACATGCTATAATTATATAACCTATATATTAAATAAATTCCACGTCCCAGGTGTTTTGTCAAAGGAAATATTTCTCATGAATTCACGTTGTGAGACATCTCGAAACGACAGCGCTCTGTTATATTGTTAAACCTACATATACTAAGTTGAAAGTGCTAGTGGGGTATATCTGTACACTTCAATAATCTATTCAATATCGGAAAACTTAGTACGTTATTTTTCTCTATCAAGTATGTTCTATGCAAAAACCATGATATTCTTAATTACAGTGCAGTTTCTGGACTGAACAAACTGCATTTGTACCAGTTATCATATCTGATTGCAAGTTGACACCTACCAATTTATGACGCTTACCTTTCACTGCCATAACTACTACGTGGATATATACACTGCACCCAGTACAACCGTTCAGCCAAGCCTTGAGGAACTGTAGAGTGTTAGTAGAGGTGGTGATAACGGAATCAGTCGAGTTAAGACCTACTGTCCAGTTTTTCACTGTATCTGTTAAAAGCAGTTGGAAGTCAGGATGACCATCGTTGATTATAAAAACCCGTAGTCTGAGGTCCGACCTGGTTGTAAAGGTTCCGCATTGTGTACGCTCATACATGTAGTGATAAAATGGCACCATATCGCCTTCACTGGCCAGATATGTTACACTGCAGTCTCTTTTATAGGGAGTAAAGTACCCTGTCGTTGTCCAACTGGGTGACCCTGATTGAAACAATACAGCATATGAGTTTATGTCTTCCATTCGTGAATCCCTCAGAGTTGCGCTCAGTGTGTATGTTTCAAAGGCGTTGTTATCTATGTCTGCCATCACCATGTTAGTCATATTTCGCTCTAACCCGTCCACGTATATTTGTCGAATGCCTCCCCCAGAGGTAAGAATGGCCACGTTGTCAATGGTATGTCGGTTGAAATCCACCTGTAAAGAAGGACCTGTTCTGCTTGACCCGGAGTCAAAGTATCCAGCAAACTGCATCACCGCATGTTGTATAGAGCTGGGACGAGCCGTCAGACCTAATCGTATACCTGCCCACGTGGACTCTCGCGAATACTTGGTGCACACAACGCTAAAGAACAAAGTGCACCTTTGTCTTTGCATACCCGTAAAGCAATTATTTTCCAAGTCCGTTTCCGTCCCAGCACAATTTAGTTCTAACCCCAGTTTAGCAGTATCAGAAATCGAGCTCATGTACAAAAGAGAAACATATCCAAGTCGCCTGCATTCTCCGTCCAACCATGTTGTCAACATCGGCCCTCTTAATGAAGAATCATAACAAACTGGCAATATGTCTCCGTTTTCTTCTCCGTAAAGTTGTCCATAAAACCATGACGCGCCATATGATTGCGATGGCCCTCGAAGCAGCGAAAATTTACCTAAACCTACTTTAGATGTGACATTTTTCGTTGTAGCCACCTTTCCCTTGGCGGTAAAGATGCACTTCTTACTCTCTGTTCCACTGACATTAAGTCTTCCTCCAATGTACACTCCCACAGAATCTTCAAATTCTAAAACCACGCCTGGTTCTATGGTTAGTGTAGCGTTGACTGTCACGTTCAGGTCATGTGTCACCGTGTACGGTTTACCAGTGTCCTTAAGAGTAAGATCGGTGTTAATGCGGCCACCGAGTGTGTAGGGAGTTGGTGCGGGGTCCACTTCTATAGTCGCTGGGGACAAACTGGAGAGATCAGACGTGATATAGAACGGAATGTATATAAACTCAGTTCTCAGAGTGTAGCGTTTTGTATTATCCATAATCCCCGAGTAAACATTTTGCGGGTTTGGTGTTCCCCAGTAATTTCGTGACACATCTAGTGTTCTAAGGACAGAATTCTCGTGCCATGTGGCCAGTTGATATTCGACTAACAGGTTTTCGAAAAAATTGTCAGTAAATGTGAAACTTCTTAGAGCATTTATCAAGGCCGTGATAGCACCAACCTCATGTCTTTTGTTTTCCGTTCTTACCTTGTTGTTTCTAAATTTATTACCAGTCACGAACAAACTGGAGGCAGAAACACAAAGAACACACTGGGACACGTCATTATTGGATAACGTGTTGTTGAGAATTTGGGTGCCCCTGCTGTCAGTATCTATTATAAAAGCCGCTTTCCCATTAGTTTTAGAAACCGAATTCTCGTTCACTTGGACGGAACTGAGCTCGTTTGTTCCACATCCATAACCAGACCCCAACATCAGGGCGGTTCCGCTTTGATTGTAAAAGACATTGCCGGACACTACGATGTCTGTTAAGGCACACTGTCTGGCTTGCGGTACTGATATACCAAATGTATTATCCATCAGGGTGTTGTTTTGAATAATGAAGCTGATTTTATCTGATAATGTCCACACCGGGGTTGTGCCAACAGACAAAGCATACTTAGAGGAATCAATGAATTCACTGTTCTTCATGGTAACATCCCTCTGGATGTGCTCAAAGTACACATGGTTCATGTTGTTCATGAAAACATTGTCCTGAAGCATAATCGTACCGGATCCTCTACCAACGTACAGACCTGTCTCTGAGGAATGTGTCACACGAGTCCCTGATATGCCAATTGGATGCAGTTGATTCTCAATAAAAATTCCATATCCGGACTTTGTGACTTCGGCGTAATTCAATGATAAACCCCTCGAGTGACCTGAATAAGCTGTAAGTTTACATATATTACTTTAAGTAACAATAGCATATTATTATGAAACATTTTCACAGGATATTTAGCTGTATATGCTGGCATTATGACAAGCATGACTTATTTAGTCATTATAAACTGAAACGGAAAATGAATTCTATATACTATGCGATATATGGAGATGCGCGAAATTATTTTTTTCTCGCAAAATTAATATTTACTCACCGGCAACGGATTGAACTGTAAACATCCCTTGATATCGTTCGCTAGAGTCGATATTTAGTGTTGATAATGACAGCAAGACTGACTCGCCGGTAGTGTAGAGAGGAGACGGCATGTTAACCTCAGCACCGTACATATACACTCTCTCTAACCGCCGGGAGGACGAACTGTTTCCGTCAAATATATCCAGTATGTTACGATGTGTAAACCAACGTGTCTTTATATACAGAACGCGCACCGCCAAAATATATCCTGGGTTTTGACTTCGAAACACCTACATGATGGAACATAGCAAATTAAAACACAGGTAATATGAAACAACGTCGCTAATGTAAGTATTATCATTTACACATGTACTTAAATAATTCAACGCTTGCTTAATGATGATTTACGCAAAATGTCAAGATGTTTGGCCAGAATCTTTTTGTAAAAAGTTAATATTTTCTACTCTTTTTTACAATAGGTCATGCATTGGACAAGCTAACCCTTACATATATCAAATCAGTTAGGTGTTTAGTTCCAATAAGCATCGAGTGGCCTACCTGAGAACAGGAAGACCTTGACCCCAGATGAAGGTCAGTACTGTCAAAGCTGATTATGAGCGGTTCTCCATCAGGAACCGTTGTTTCCGGCAGTTGACACATTTTATAGGAGGGCAGCAGGGATGTCCTGTTGTAATATAAACCTGTTTTATGGACATTAGAAATCTGGATGTTGTCCATTGCCAGGTTACCACCAAAGCTTCTGAAGGAAACCCCGTTGCCCATGCTGTCCTCAATTTTACTATTGTTGATCGCTGCATGTCCAGTTATATCTCTGAGTAGAACACCATTACCGATGACATTTGTGATGTTCAGGTTATCAAGCATAGGTGGGATTCCGCTAACAGATAAGGCTGCTGTATCATTTGAATGTGTCCCGATGTTAGGAAGACCAGCGAATTCGATGTCGACATATTGGAGATTACTTAAACCCGACACGGAGGAGTTAGTCGCCAACTCTATCCCAGACCAGTACTTGGCAATTTCGTTGGCAATCCCACGATAACCAGAGTAACCT